CCCCAAAACCCCAAAACCCCAAAACCCCAAAACCCCTTGAAATATTTTAGTTGTTGGTTCAAGAATTCATAAAATTATTTAAATTTTGAATAAAAATGAGCAAGTTTGAAAAATTCGAGGATGACGATGAGCAACATGCTAGCGGAAATAATACCAAGTCTATGTTTGAAGTGAAGGAACCCTCACCAGACTATTCCAGAGAATTTAGGAATGAAACATTAGATGAGAAGTTCAGAAATGATCCAGTGAGAACATGGCTCAAGATGCTATTTCCTCACTTTGAGCTGTTCTCGTTAACAACTCTATATATCTTAATTTTGATTGTGGTGTTTATTATTCAGCTCTTAGTTTGGCTGACCAGTAGATGGACTTGTGTTACATATCACATGGGAGCTAATTATACTCCAGCTATTCATAGATGGCAGATCCACAGACTAGTATTCCCCACTTTTGTTCATAATGACTTCCCTCATCTAGGTTGGAATGTCTTCGTATTGTTTGCAGTCGGAATGAATGCTGAGCATTATCTTGGAACAGTTGGATATGTAGTATTAATAGCAGCATCTGCTCTTCTCGGAAACATCTTTACTGCTGGGTTCAGACATAACTTATGTAATCAATCAGTTGGAGCTTCAACAGTTATAATGGGAATTATTGGATTTGAATTCTTGTGGTTTGCTTTCAACTGGCACAAGATGAGAAGCTCTAAATGGCTTTATGTTCTTTATATCTGCACTATATTCTTAACCACCGTTATGGGAACATGGGCTTCTGGCCACGTTGTTGAATTCTGGGGGCATCTTGGAGGATTGATAGCAGGAGTTTGAATCACATGAATCTTCTTTACTGAACTTCAGAACATTGACTTAGTCAGAGTTGCCAGGCCAGGATTCTTTGTATTTTTAGCATTAGCATTTTTCTTAGCATTTATGGTAATGGTATTTAGAGATACAAGTTTATGCTTTCCAAATCTTTGCAATAGCAAGTACTATAAGATTTTTGAATAAAGAAATATTGGTTCTAATAAAACTTTATCCATCAAAACTCTCTCGTTTCTTAACTTCATTTCTCAATTCCTAGCTTTATTTTCGGGGTTTTGGGGTTTTGGGGTTTTGGGGTTTTGGGG